TCTGGTGTGAAAATCTGTGCATCCAATCAGCATAGCACCAGGGTTAAAACCTAGCACTGGGCTGAGGCATGGTGTCACACACCTGTTGTCCCAGCACTCAGGAAGCTGAGGCAGGAGGATCACAAGTTAAAGTGAAACGTAGGCAACTTACCGATTCAGGGAGACTTTGTCTCAGAATAAAAAAACAATTCTTAAAGGGCTGCAGATGGAGCTCAGCACAAAAGCCCTGAGTTCCATCCCCAGTGCTGAAAACAAAAGAGTAACACAGGCAACACCCTTGTCCCACAGACCTTGGAAAGCTGCCTTTTCCAGGGAGAAGAGTCATGGCCCAGGGCCCAGGAGAGAGAAACCCCAGCCCCTCCCAAGCCCGGAGCTGAGAACTTGACCTTGGGCTCCTGGCTTCAGTAAGGGAAGGAAGGCTGGCCCAGCAGACAGACAGGAGGGTCCCCAGGCACTGGGTCTGGGACAGGGAAGGAGAAAGCAAAGCGCAGCCCTGAGGCTGGGCTTCTGGGGACATCGCCAGGGTTGGGGGCTTCAGCAGCTCCTGGCTGAGCCCTTTGTTCGTGAACAGCACGGGGCAGATGGGTATACAGCAGGCACTGGGTGGGTACCAGGGGGAACACTGGCCCTAAGTGAGCTGGGGTGCTGGAAGGGCCTGGCCCACTGCTCTCCTGGACGGAGGACCCAACATGCAAGGTGTGCCCCAGCCAGCCCTCCTCACCTGCCCCCGAGTGTGTGGATTCAGCCCCGGGTTTTTCTTACTTGTTTTGGTATTGGGGATGGAACCCAGGGCCTTCGCACTGAGCTGTATCCCCAGCCCTTTTAATTTTTTGTTTTTTGTTTTTTTTGTTTGATTTTTGGTACTCACGATAGAACTCAGGTCCTTGCACTTGTGGGGCAGGCGGTGGAACCACTGAGGCAAATCCCAGCCCCTTTCTATTTTTTGTTTTGAGACAGGTTCTCGCTAAGTCACTAAATCACTCATGCTGGGCTCAAAGTTGTGATCCTCCTCCCTCGGCCTCTCACAGCACTGGGATGACGGGTGGGCAACTCTCCACCCAGCTCCCTAGGGGCTTCTGATGGTGCCCCGTGCTCAGTCCTCACCTTCTCCGTGGGCTGCTGCAGGATGGGAAGGTTCTCCTCCAGCTTGTCCAGCCCCCTGTGGGCATACTCACTGGCTGATGCCACTGCGGGAAGGAGAAGGGAGAAATCAAAATCCAACTGTGGAGTGGGTATGGGATGCACGCCTGTCAGCCCAGCACTTGGGAGGCTGAGGCAGGAGGATCCCATGAGCTCAAGGCCAGTCTGGGCTACACAGTGAGACCCTGTCTCAAAAAACAAACAACTAGAACTACGGCTGGGTCTGAGGGGTCTGGGACTGGTGTGGGCAGACAGGGCCAAGGGTGCAGCAGATGCCCCAGGTCAGGAGGGGACAGTCCCCACGTTCTGGGGCCTCCATCACTCACACTGAGGCTCCAGCCGGGACAGGATGGGCTCCGCCCCGCTGACTGCAGCCGCTGTGAGGGTCCTCACTCCCTTCTCTGCCACGTCGCACATGGTCTTGACGTGGGGGTGACTCTCCTTGGTGGATGAGTAGGCAGCCGACACCATGTCGCAGGTGGAGCTGATGAGCGGCAGGCTGGTCACGCGGTCCACCACACTGGGCTGCAGGTGGGGAGAGGCAGCTGAGGGAGGGTGGCGACGGAGCCCAAGAAACTCCGGCACCTGCAGGTCTGATTTATTTATGTTTGGGCACCGGGGCTGGAACCAGGGCCTTCCCACTCAGCTCCACCCCCAGCGCTTTTTTTTTTATTTTGAGACAGGGTCCCGCTAAGTCACTGAGTTGCCCAGGCTGGGCTTGAACTTGTGATCCTCCTGCCTCAGCCTCCCTGAGTAACAGGATGACAGGCGTGCACCACCATGCCCGGGTCAGGTCTGCCGCTGTTTCTGGTGAGCACAACAGCCCTGCCCCCGGGACTCAGACTGCTGTGATTGCAAAAGCCAGGAACTCCGAGCTTCTGCCATGCACTTCCACTGGCTGGTCCCCTACGAGTGAGGCCTTACCCCCAGCCTTGTGGCAGGCAGTGCCAAGGCACAGGGGCCATCAGAGCTCAGGGTCCGGACCTGAGCACAGGCACCTCTGTTCTGTGTACCAAACCCAGCTGACCACCTGAGTTTTAATTGTTACCTGCATTCCCCTAATATTTTTTCAGATTTTTTTTTAGAAAGGCTCTCACTATGTAGCCCAGGCTAGCCTCGAACTCTCAGCGATCCTCCTGCCTCACCATCTTGAGTGCTGGAATTACAGGCGTGCACCACTACGGCCAGCTCCCTAATACTGTACTTTTATGAGATATAATTCACATACTGTAAATTTCACCCTTTGGAGGCCTGCAACTGTGCACTTATTAAATATATTTACAAAGTTATGTAACAACTACTAATTCCAGAGCTTTCATTGTGTGTGTGTGTCTGTGTGTGTGTGTGACACTGGAGATGAAGCCCAGAGTCTGTGCATCCTCAGCCCTTTTCATTCTTTTTTTTTTGTTACTGGGGATCAAATTCAGGTCCTTGCGCTTACACAGCAAGTGGCAAAACCACTGAGCTAAATCCCCGGCCCGCCCTTTTCATGCTTTATTTGGAGTCGGGCTCACACTAAATTGTCCAGGCTGGGCTTAAACTTGCAATCCTCCTGCCTCAGCCTCCCAGTGCTAGGATAACAGGCGTGGGCCACCAGGACTGGGTTTTTTCCCCCTTGGCAGAGGGGGAGATGAAACCCAAGACCCCACTGAGCTATACCCTAAATGCTTCTCAGCACCCTAAAGAGGTCAAATCTCTACTCACAGCCCCTCCCTGAAGGGGCTTAGAGCCATTCATCCAGCTTGTCTGCAGGGCTGTGCCCCAGCTGCACACCTGGGAGTTGGGTCCTCAGTGTGGTCGCCTGCGCCTGGCTTCTCCAGGGAGCCCAGGTCCTGCAGGTTCATCCGCACTATGCTGAGTCAGAGCGCACTCTTGTAATTGGGCTAAAACACATTCCCATGTCTAAGTGCCCAGCTTGGCAGCATGGAACTTATCCCTTGGCTGTGCCGTCCCCACTGCCCACCTCCAGGGCTTTCCATCTCCCCAGCTGAGCTCTGTCCCAGTAAACGCTGACCCCGTCCCCTCCCCAGCCCGGCACCATCCTCCTTCCTGTCCCTGTGGATCTGACCACACTGGGCCTCCTGGGGGTGGGGCCCTGCGCTGCGTGTCCTCCTGTGTCTGCCGCAGCTCCCTGAACAGCGCGGCCTCAAGGTCCATCCAAGCTGTAGCAGTGTCAGGACTGCCTTCCTCTTTGTGGCTGAGTAATATTCCATTGTGATTTGGTTTAAGATTTCATTGGCACGCCTCACATCTGCTCATCTCCATATCATCTATGGTGTTTTCTGGCTACATAGCAGTTTTGAGCAGTACTGACACAAATCATAAGATCCATAAAGTTGAGAATATTTACTGTGTGTTTTTTTATAGACAAAGTTTGCTGCTCTCTGACACAGATCATATATAATATTAGGTGGTCAGAGCTAAAAAGAGGCTGGGTACAATCATACACGCCTGTCAGCTCAACACTCTAGGAGGCTGAGGCAGGAGGATCGCAAGTTTGAGCCTATCCTTGCCAACTTAGTAAGAACCTGTTTCAAAATAAAAAAGGCTGGGATGTACCTTGGTGGTGCGCCCACACGAGCCCCTAGGTTCGTCTGGGAGACAACTCTCATGTGCTTCAGGGTCACATGAGACCCCGACAGTCCTGAGAAGTACACAACGTTGTTCCAATTTCACATGTAGGGAAACTGAGACCCAAAGGAGCCAGAGACATCACCCACAGTCAAATATCGAGCTGGTCCTGGACACAAGCAGTGTGCCAGGGCTTCACCACTACGCACTGTGGGGTCCTCAGAGGTCATCATGTGCCCAAGGGCTTGCTCAGGTCCCCAGCATCACAAAACCCAAACTAAGGGAATCACAAGTTTACCATGGGATCCAGTGATGTTGCTCCTAGAACCGGACCCAGAGACTGGAAAACTCGCACCCACACCTGAGTCATAACAGCCAGGACGTGGAAATGACCCAACTACCTTAGATTAAAAAACATATAAAACATGTTTCACACTGTTGTCCTATCACCTGGGAGGCTGAGGCAGGAAGATCACCATGAGTTCAAGGCTAGACTGGGCTACATAGTGAGTTTGAGGCCAGCCTGGACTACATATCTAGACCCTGTTTCAAAAGAAAGAGGAGGAAGGAAGGAAGGAAGGAAGGAAGGAAGAAAGGAAGGAAGGAAGAAAGAAAGAAAGAAAGAAAGAAAGAAAGAAAGAAAGAAAGAAAGAAGGAAGCCTCTTGCCCCACTTCTCTGTATCCTGCACACAAGTCACAG